TCTCCCTAAGTAATCAGCTGTTGTCTGTGAGGCAGAGGCCTGGAGTGACAGGCTCTTATCACTCACAGATTCATTATGTGGTAATCTGTGTGGGCTTCTGAGAGGGGGCTATCTTTCCCATGTTTGAGCGCTTAAGAGCGGCACACCATGCCAACTCTAACCAAAGGAAAGACACTACCCACAGCACTGCTGCCATAACAAAACAAATTCCTAGCACCTCAGTGGCTGATGGCATTCTGCAGGGGGTTCTCTACATTAAACAAACAGTGGTGTATCAGATTGTACGTATGTCCTGTGCTTAGTGGGGGAATTCCTTGATTCGTTAGGTCAAGGCCGTATGCAAACACAGTGTCTCGGAGTGTCACCTCTTTTGAGTGAGGGAAGATGACTTGGTCCCGAATTCTGGGATGATCAGTCCCTTATGTGAGTTCGTTGGGTGAACCAAAAGTAAAAGGAGGAGCCAAGAAGTGGCCTTATGCTTCTGGGCGGTGTGTGCCTAACCTGGGGTCACTTCGACCCAGGACAAGGACAAGGAAAGGGGCATAGGAGGGGGTTCTGTGCTCACCCTCACAGAACCAAACAGCACACAAAACACCGAGGTGCCTATTTGCTGAAATCAAGGGGGGAACCTCACCAAGTCCAACATGCTGTCTCTCAGTCACGTTGGGCGCCAGATGTTGAAGTTGATTTGTTCTAAGAGGAGGAGTACGGTGGGGGCAAGAAGCACGGAGTCACCACACAGACCCTGGGAGCCAGTGAAAGTGGGCCAGAGGCGAGCAGCCCACAGACTCATTTATTTCAGTTGGTACAGCAGCTTATATGGCCGAGCCAGCCAATCTGGTCAAGGGGCAGTTTATTCCCTAACCAAATACAGCCCGTTGCCAGGCAGTTTCCGAAGCCATTCACTCACAGCCTGTTGTCAGGTAGGCTCTGTGGCCATGTGGTTTCCAAAGCCATTCCTGAGTAACTGATGCTCACTTGTCAGTGGCCACCTTGGCATGGTCTTCTCATTCCACCATTGTCCCAGTAGCTGGGACTCAGTACAACAGATTTGTATTCACCCCCACCTGATTGAGAAGCAAGCTGGGCTCCAGGAGGTGGAGCTGTGTGCTTCCAGTTACAATGCACAGATACATAGCAGTTCATATCAGAGAGAAACCTCACCACAAGCACAAAGACACAAATGATAGAGAAAAGCAACCAGACCAAAAAAAGAAAAATACAGAATGGCCAAAAAACAAAGGAAAAATCTTAAATAAAAATAAGAAAGACACTATGAGCCCCCTAAAGGAACACTACAACTTTTCAATAATAGGAGGTGAAGATGAAGAGATCAAGGATATATCAGAAACAGAATTCAGAAAATTAATCAGCTTACAGAAGCAAATTCACGACCTAAATGAAAAGCACCCACAAGAAACTGAGATATTAAAGAGAAGTCAGAATGAAATACTACAAATGAATAATTCAATAGATCAAATAAAAAATACTGTGGAAAGCCTTAACAACAGAATAGGAAGATAGAAGAAAGAGTATAAGAATTAGAAGACAAATTTCAAGAAATATTACATTCAGACCAAATAAAAGAAGAAATTAGAAAAATAAAAACACAGTTGGAGATCTACAAGATTCTATCAAATGACCCAACATACAGATCCTAGGAATTCCAGATGGAGTGGAATTACAGAGAGAAAGGATTAGAAGGCCTTCTTGTCTACCGCCATATCACCCTGAATGTGCCCAATCTCATCTGATGCTGGAAGCTAAGCAGGGTTCGGCCTGGTTAGTATTTGGATGGGAGAAGGCCTTCTTAGTGAAATAATAAGAGAAAACTTCCCCAATCTGGAGAGAGACATCCAAGTACATGAAATACATAGAACTCTCAATAGACAGGACCAGAAAAGATCTTCACCACTACACATTATCGTAAAACTCCCCACAGTAAAACACAAGAAAAAGATCTTAAAATGTGCAAGAGAGAAACTCTAAGTCACATTCAGAGAAAATCCAATAACACACACTGCAAACTAATCAAAAACTCTACATGCAAGAAGAGAATGGCAAGCTATATTCCAAGTCCTGGGCGGGGGGGGGGACTGTTAACCCAGAATACTGTACCATGCAAAGCTCTCATTTATGAATGAAGGAGAAATAAAGATCTTACACAACAAACAGAAATTGGAAGAATCTGTAACTATGCACTCAACCATAAAAAAGATGTTATAGGATGTGCTATACACAACACAGAAACAGGAACATCACTATAAAAGAAAATGAATGCAGAAAATAACCCAGCAAAACTACAAAGGAAACCCAAAATACAAAATTATGACTATTTATAGAAACATGGCATGGCAAAGTTGATAATTAACAATAGTCATCCTGAATATAAATGGTCTCAACTCCCAAGTTAAAAGACACAGACTGGCTAAATAGATTAAAAAAGAAAACCCATCTATTTGCTGCCTACAAGAAACACATCTTAACAACAACAATGCATGCAGACTAAAAGTGAAAGGATGTAAAAAGATATTCCATGCTAACAGAAACCAAAAAAAAAAAAAAAAGCTGGTGTGGTCATCCTAATATCAGACAAAATAGACTTTAACACAAAACCTCTTAAAAGAGACAAAGAAGGACTCTATAAGATGATTAAAGAACCAATTCAACAGGAAGATGTGACTATTATAAATGTATACCCACCTAATTACAGGGTACTCGGCTATCTAAAATACATGTTAAGGGATATATACGGAGATATAGACTAAAAACAACAGTAATGGGGGACTTCAATACCCCACTTTCAGCACTGGACAGATCAATCAGACAGAAGATCAACAAGGAAACAACAGAGTTAATAGACAGTATAGACCAAATAGGCCTAGCATATATCCACAGAGCCTTCCACCCTACAGCCACAGAATACACATTTTTTTCATCAGTGCATGGAACTTTCTCTAGAATTGACTACATGCTAGGCCATAAACTAAGTCTCAGTAAATTTTAAAAAATTGAAATCATACTATGCATCTTCTCGGGCCACAATGAAATAAGCTGGAAATCAGCAACTCAGGAATCTCTAAAACATATGCAAACACATGCAGACTGAACAACACAATCCTGAATGAACAGTGGGTCACAGAAGAAATCAAAAGAGAAATCAACAAATTTCTGGAAACAAATGAAGAAAATAATGCAGTATATGAAAACTTATGGGATACAGCAAAAGCAGTGTTAAGCAGTAAGTTTATAGCACCTGCAGCCTACATCAAGAATTGGAAAGGCACCAAATAAATGAGCTACCAATGCACCTCAGGGATCTAGAAAAACAACAGCAAACCAAACCCAAAACAATAGGAGAAAATAAATAATTAAAATTAGAGAAGAAATCAACAAAATTGAAACCAAAAAAATACAAAAGATCAGCAAAACGTAAAGCTGCTTTTTTGAAAAACTAAGCAAAATTTACACACCACTAGCACAGCTAATCAAAAAAAAATGGACAGAGAAGACCCAAACCAATAAAATTAGAGATGAAAAAGGATATGTAACAACAGACACCACAGGAAAAAAAAGAAACATCAGAAACTAGTACAAAGAGCTGTATGCCAACAAACTGGGAAACCTAGAAAAAATGGATAGATTCTGGGACACAAACAACCTACCTAAATTGAGCCATGAAGACATAGAAAACCTAAACAGACCCATAACCAAGATGGAAATTGAATCAGTAATAAAGATCCTCAAAAAAGAAAAGCCTAGGATCAGATAGCCTCACTGCTGATTCTCTACCAGAAATTTAAAGAACTCACTCCAATTCTCAAGTTATTCAAAAGAATTGAAAGGGAGGTAATCCTCTCAAATTCTTTCTATGAAGCCAGCATAACCATAATTCCTAAACTCGAAAAATATGCAAAAGGGAAAGAGAACTACATATTTCCCTGATGAACATAGACACAAAAATACTCAGCAAAATTCTGGCCAATCGAATCCAACAACACTTTTCAGAAAGATTATTCATCTGGACCAAGTGGGATTGATCCCTGGTAAGCAGGTATGGCTCAACATTCACAAATCAATCAATATGATTCATCACATTAACAAACTGCAGAAAAAACACCATATGATAATCTCAATAGATGCAGTGATGAAATACAACACCCTTTCATGATGAAAACTCTAAGCAAATTGGGTTTAGATGGAACATTCCTCAACACAATTAAGGTAATTTATGACAAACCCACAGCCAGCATCATATTGAATAGGGAAAACTTGGAAGCATTCCCACAGAGATCCAGAACTAGCTAAGGATACCTACTCTTACCATTGCTATTTAATATAGTCCTGGAAGTTTTAGCCTGAGTCATTAGGCAAGAAAAAGAAATCAAAGGAATTCAAATCAGGAAAAAGGAATTCAAAATACCCCTATTTGCAAATGGCATGATTCTATATATATAGGGGATCCAAAAGACTCCACTAAAAAACTATTTGAACTCATAAAAGAATTTGATAAAGTAGCAGGATATAAAATCAATACACAAAAATCAACAGCCTTTGTATACACAGATAATACCATGGTTGAGAAAGAGCTTCCAATATCAATTCCATTCATGATAGCTACAAAAAAAATCAAATACCTTGGAATAAATTTAAACAAAGATGTCAAAGATCTCTACAATGAGAATTACAAAACATTACGGATGTATTTCTAAGGGTACAGCTAAAAACTTGCCATGGTACTCTAATTCCCATTAAGCTGGGTGGTAATAATGCCATCTTAAGTGCTAAAGTGATCCTATTAAGTGTTAAATTGATCGTATAAATAGGACAAAGTATTAAAGCGATCATATAAATAAGACCAAGTGTCTAGTAATAACAATACATAGAATTAAAAGGAAGAGGACGTTCCAACATGGGAAGCAGCCCACACAGCAGACTCATAGAATGACAATCACTATAAATAGCATTCTGACCTCATAATTAACCCTTCTGGCATTCTGGTCTGGCTGAAAAGCCTATGATAGCATTTCAGGCATGGAAGGCCAAGACACTGTGACCAAAAAAATGTTCTACATGAAGGATCTTGGTGAGTGAGACCCCAGTGGAAAGAAGGGGCCATCAAAGAAGGATAAACTTTTCTCTGAAGTGAGGAGAGAACTTCCACTTTCCTTATGGCCTTGTCTAAATACTGACAAAGATTGTGGACTCAAAAAGCTTGCATAGCCTTGGCAGCCTATGTCAAGAGCCTTGGTGATCACTGACATCATACATAAGAGTGCTAATTGTTAAATTAACAAGAGGAATCACTGTGCACTTACTTCCCATGCAGGACCTCTGTCCTCAATGAGTTATACTATGAGAATTAACTGTAAAATTTGTTCTCAAAGAGTTTTTATATTTTGTGTGTATGTGTGCAAATTGTTGAAATCATTACTTAGTATTGAGTTGGTCTTCTGTGTATAAAGTTAATTGAAATAATTCTTATTGGAGAATAGAACTGGGAATGGGAGAGGGAGGAAGAGGGGGGTGGGAGGAGGGGGATGGGAAGAATCACTATATTCCTAAAGTTGTACTTCATGAAATTTGCAATCATTAAATAAAATGTTTCTAAAACAAAAATTCATGGTAAGGGCCCAGCGTTGTGGCATAGCAAGTTAAGCTGCTGCCTGCAATGCTGGCATCCCATATGCACCCCAGTTTGAGTCTCCACTGTTCCACTTCCAACATGGCTCGCTGCTGATGGCCTGGGAGGGCAGTGGAGAATGGCCCAAGTGCTTGGGTCCCTGCACCCACTTGGGAGACCTGGATGAAGATTCTGTATACTGGTTTTGGCTCAGTAGACCCCTCACCATTGCAGTCATTTGGGGAGTGAAACAGTAAATGGAAGCTGTCTCTCTCTCCCTGTCTCTCTTACTCTGTAACTCTGCCTTCCAAATGAAATTATAAATCTTAAAAAAAAAAGACAGAGCAAAGAACTCCTACTCTCTGAATACATGTGAATCAGGTGCTCACTTTTGGTGCATTAGTGGCCACATCTGAGTAAAACCATTTCCTGCTTTGGTGGGTAATAAATTGAGGTACAGAGGAAAGGTGAATGTAACAGCAGTGTTGGCAATCATTTTTATTTGACATATTTTTCCTCTTAGATATGGATATCAACTCTTCTTTGAAGATGATTTTTTGTGTTTGCCCAAGGTGACATTTGGATACTGAAACACTAGGTAGCGAAGACTCACATCAGACTAGTAAGACCAGACACTGGGTCACACAGTCAAATGAGCTGGTCCTCAGGGCCAGAGACATAAGAGGGCCCTGAGAAACTAAACATGAACACCTTCCAAATCACAAATGAGTAAATGTCTTTTGAAATTCTGTTGAGTCAGATAAAAACAACTAAATTTTTGTACTAATAAAAATTGTGTGTTCTTGCCTCATACTCAAAATAAGGAATTTGTTACATGCATTTATTTCAAGTGCTTCTGAGCCAATCTGCATCTCAGGAGACATGTGAAAAGGCTTAACTTCAGATAATAAGCAATCACAGGAAAAATCTTATGTCATATATGATTTGGTGTCAGAATAGCAGGTGGCTATTCCTGACAATGTCAACAAAGGGAAACTCTCTTGTCTTTTGGTTCACTGCCTTGGAATTATTCCACAAAGTTTACATAAATTCTTAACAGAGGTGGATAGGCCTTGGTGAAAAGTGTTTTCATTTCTACCAGAGGCACTCTATCTGTTAGATCAAGACCATGGATTGTTCATCAGTTATGTAAGTTGCAATGGAAACCTGAGTTAACTGGCAACAGGTTTCTAACATATTTTGACGATATTTTGAACACTTCTTCATCTGAACGTTGTTCAGAACACTGATGACTTAAGTCTATGAAATCTGAGTGTCTTAACTATTGTCAGGACCAAATATTTTCTTAAATAATATGATACATATATAAGACATACTTTGTGTAAAGGTACTTATTTAAGAAAAGGAAGCTTAGCATTCCAGTTCAAGGATTTCATTAATTTAAAGAAGACAAAGTAAATACACTCTCCCGAGAAAATGGAAACAAATGTCTGGAGCTGGTTTTTCCTCTGCATAAAACTAAAAGAATCCCCTAAAGACCCCAAACAATAGTCTAAGTTTAAGTTCTCAGTCTCATAAAGCAACTATTTTAATTAAATGCAGAGATGGTCCACCAACTTCGGTCCTCAATTATTTAAGACTTTAGGGGGAAAAAACATTAAATGGCATTAATAAAGATGCTGACAAACTCATGATTATGGAGAGCAGAAAGTGTTTTCAATGAAAGTGATGGTTACTGTTGCTATTATAATAAATGAGGTCTTATAACTGGGTTGGTGTGAGTACTTCCTCATGTTGTTTAAATTAATCCATAAAACTCTACATGTGTGGTTTGAACCACACATGCCTTGAGGAAATGTGACTACAAAAAGCAATGCAAATCCATGTCTCTGATAGTAAAGAAGGCACACTCAGGAATCTTTTGCAATGGCTTGGGACAATTTAAACTAACATTCATAATTTGAGGGGAAAAAAAAGAAGTGTTGCCAATGCTACTCCACAAACTGGAGTGCTCAAAAATCTCTCCCTATCCTATATTTGTTGAAAAAGAACAAATGCATAGTTCATTCTATTTATGAGAATGACTCTCACAGGAGAAATTATTTTCCTTGTTGAGATCTCTTAAAATCTTTTTATGTCACAGCAATGGTTGCCTCTTAGAAATCTGACAAAGAAATAATGTATATGAAATTATGAAGTATAAAATATAACACTTTGTTATTTAAATCCAAACTTACAAACCATTACCATAAGTAGATGCTGGAAAATGATTTATATTCCAAGTAATATTAACTGGTAAATAAATAGAACATGCTGGCTTTTAATAAATGTACCCAAAAATATTCAACCAGACAGGAAAAAGTCCTGCTGAAAAGGAATTAATGTGGAAGAAATTCATTCTTCTTCCAAAAAACACACATCAAAAGTTGGCATTCTACAGTCCTTAGGCAAATGTTGCATTCCATTCAGAATCAGAGATGTAAGCATTTTTCCAGTGAAATGAACTTCATCTTTGGCCTTGCACTTTGAAAAAGCTTATGACTTAGTTAAGTATATGGCAACACAGGCACACCATCATCTAAAAATCTCTAAACCACAACATTCTGAAAAAACAATATCAGTCCTTCTTTCTAACATTATTTAATTAACAAAAAATTATGACTTTCATGTATTTATTTCCAAGTTGTAAAAAGATACTGTAGGAGCCAGCATTGTGACACAGCATGTTAAATGTCCACCTAAGATGCTGGCATCCCATATTGGAGCACCACTTCAATGCCTGGATGCTGTGCTTCTGATTCAGCTCCCTGCTAATGTGCCTGGGAAAGCAGTTCTTCGGTCCCTGCGATCCATGTGGAAGACCTGATGGAATTGGTTGAAGTGCTTGACCCCTGACACTCAGTTCGGTGACCCAAATGAAGTTCCTGGCTCCTGACTTCAGCTTGGCCCAGATCTGGCAGTTGTGGCCACTTGGAGAGTCAACTGGCAGATGGAAAATATTTCTCTCTGTCTCTTTCACTCTCTCTTGCTCTTGTTCTCTCTGCCTTTCAAATAAATAAAAAAATCTTCACCAAAACAAATATATTATAATAACTTCATAAGGATTACTTGAAGGTTTTAAAATAAGATGAATGATTTAACAGAGAGGATATACCATATCTCTTAAAAGGACAGTTTATTATTATTAAAATGTCAATTTATCTCAAAATAAAACAAATTTAAAAAAACTGCAATTAGAACCCAATGGGACCTTATTTGGAATTTATTAAAACAATTACATATTTTATGTGATGGAAAGAAGCAATTAAAAAAGACTTGCCCTACTAAATATTAAAACTGACATAAAGACAGTATAATCAAAAATATATTTGACATGAAATAGACAAATTAATGAAACTGAGTAGAAAATCCAAAGAAATATTTAATATATGAAAAAATGGAATTTTAAATTTTAATAGATGTGTTAATTACATGTATTGACACAATTGCCACATATCTGGAAAAAAACAAAGTCATATTTCAGATGAATCAAAGCTCTAGATTTTAAATCCATAAATATGCTAAAATAGAGTTCAAGGTTTGTGTAGACCATTTTCAAAGAAAACAAATTCCGAATTCTCAGAAAAGAAGATAGATAAATGTAACTTCAGTAAAATATAAAATGTCCCTACAGTAAATGTTACATTTTCTCTCACTGAAAGAAAAAATTTTCAACCATTAAAATTAACCTTCACTAAATATCTATACACAAAGTCCCCTCAAATTGTGTAGTAGTTAGAAGAATAAGGATAAGAGACAGTATGCCGAAATGAAATCTGATGGCTAATAAATATATTAAAAATGCTCAATTTCACTAGGAGTCTAGAAAATGCAAAGAATAAAAACAAAATAACAACAATGAAGGCCATCTTTTTACTGACCAATGGGAAAAATTCAGAATTGATAACATCTAGTATTGGCAGAGGTTGTCTTATACTAATTGTGAAAATGTGAGTTGACATTTTTAGAAGGTGACTTAGCATATTTATCAAAATTAAAAAGTGAATAAGCTTTGATCCAGCAATTCTATGTCTGCAATTCTGTCCATAGAGATTAGATGATCTATACCTAAAGATGAATGTTCATGAATATGTTCCAAAAGCTCGTAACCTCCAACTTCTTCAATTGAGAAAGCTGGACAAACCATAGTAAAAACCATACCAGAGGATCTATGGAGTATGTTGTAGCCATTAAAAATAATAAATTTAATAAATATGTGATGACATGAAAATATACTCACTGCTTATTTTTATGTTAAAATGAAGGCTACCAAATAATTTGTATAGTACAATTTTAATGGTTCATTATATTGTGGGTACATTTGCAGATGAGCATAAAAATATGGAACTACATATGTCAAATGACTAACATTAATGTCAAAGAGCCGGGATAGAAGAACTGCAGATTGGAAAGAGAAGAAAAAGCCAATATTTGAATTGCTGCATCATTACTTTGATAACTTAAAAACTTAGGCATATGTTGTATGTGATATAGTGTCATTGTTCACTGTTGCTTTCTCCATCTAAATTTTTACATGAGGGTAAATTTGTGTGTCGACTAAGAATTTTCTAGATAGTGGATACAAAACAATATAGTAATGTGACACTTAACAACAGGAATACATGCTGAGAAATGTACCATTAGGTGATTTTATCATTATATGACTCTTATACAGATGCTACAGGCTATATGATTAAGACTATTGCTCCCATTCTTTCAGGATTTCCCAACTTCTAATTAAAAATTATGATCAATTTTCTTTGTATGAGTTATTTTGTCATGGCACTAGAAGATTGTGATTCTATTTATAACCTACACATTGGCATTGTTTATCAGAAACTGTGAAGTGAGAAGGACTCAGGTATGTTGGTCAAAGTGTACAAAGCTTCACTTTGACAGTTAATATACATGGTAACTATTTGAGATGGTGGATATGTTAATTATCTTATTTCAATCATTCCATTTTTGTATATACATGTCATAGCTTCACTTAACATTACACAAATATATGTGATTATAATTTGTTGATAACAAATAAAATCAGTAGAGCTTTTAAAGTTAAAAAAAGACTATTGCTCCCAGGACCATGATAAACAAAACAAAATGAAATTAAATCAAGCACAAGAGAAAATTATCTAATAAATAGATAAGGTAAACACAAAATGTATAAGGCTGTTGCTGGTATAGCATGTTTCACAGTAACTTTTTTTCTAAATAGAATACCTTCCACAATAATGATAAAAAGCCTATTAAATAGTCATTTATTGTCAACATCAAGTATTATGCACTATTCATGATCAGATGTGCTATACTTTTACATGACACAGAATCAGCCCACACACGAGTAACACATTATGCTACAGTGTTATGACTATGACATCACTAGGTCATAGGAATTTTTCAGCCTCATTAAAATCTTGTGGGACTATCTTGGTGTAAGTGGCTTGTCCTTGACTAAAACATCCTTATGCAGCTCATGACTACATTTTTGGATGTGATTTATAAGGATCATACTGGAAAATAATAGCAGTTTAATCAGAAGACTGAGTCAACAGGGTACACTATCACCCATGTAGCAGGCATCATTTAACATTTTGAGGGCTCAAATAGAACACAATTGTGAAAGAAAAGTGAATTCATCCTCCCTTCTTGAACTAGATCATATCCAACTTCTCCTATCCTTGGACATCAGTACTTATAGTTTTCAGACTTCCAGATCAAACTGGAACTTAGAACTTGATTCCCACACTTTTGGGGCTTCAGGGATGCACTAGAACACCACTACCAGCTTTCCTGGCTTCCAGCTTGCAGATGGTAGAGCATGGAACTTCTCAGCCTCCACAATTATGTGAATCAATCCCACAAAATAAATTTTTTATAATGGCTCTGTTTCTTTAGAGAACCCTGAATCATAAGCTTCACCTACTCCTTTGGCCTACACATGTTCCTACCACTGTCAATTCATAGATAAACCAGGTCACTCATAGATAAACTGATAGTTCCAGGACTTAATGTGATAAAAATATTTTGATTACTAAAGCACTGCCCATGTAACCTAACAGAAGTTTCCTAATAATTAAGAGTTAAAATAAAGTTCCAACCAAATCTTCCCTGTAAGTATTTAATAAATGGGAGTAGATATAACCCAGACTTCTGGTATTTTAGCTCTGAGAAATTACAAAAAACAATCTGTGATTGGAGTGTTTAATTCATTACAAAAATGTAGGTCTGGAGGAAAGGTATCTCAAATCAGCTCAGTTATTTACCAAATTATTCTTTGAAAGTATATCCATTGACATGTGAGTATTTTTATACATAAAGTTTTTACTTTCCCAAGTGTGGGCAAAAGTTTTGAAATTTTAAGCACTTTTGTAATGATAAAAAATTATTAACATTTATTGAAAGTTTACTTTGTGTCATATACTTGCTAAGCTATTCATATGAATATCTCATTTTATTATCACAATTCCGTTTGGCATATATTATTATATGCTCTATTTTATAAGTGAAGAAGCTGAGGTTAAAGACTCTAAAAAGAAACTATAAAATGGTACCCAATCAGATGCCAAAATCCCCACCTTCTTAGGGTACATATGTTTGATTCAAGGACAATGAACCATGTATTAATCAAAGAGTAGTTTTTTACTTCATTATCTAAATTCTAGGGGAAAGGACTGTGACAAATGAGCAGGTAAACACCATTTGTAAATGGAAACCTTAATAGTTCCAAAGGACACGGAGAATATGAAGCATCAACAAATCTTTGATCTGAACAGCACTTTGCCTCTAGAAGGAAACCAGCAGTAGACACATTTAGAGGTAATGAGCAGTGATAGGAGACATTACCCCAAGTCCTACAGCAATAGAATGAGGGAAAAAATAGCCAGTATCACATGATCCCTAAGAAAACCAATAGAAGGTTTGTATTGTAGTTGACATAAAGACAAGATCTTCCTTTGGATGGGTTAAATGTCAAGAAATGTTTTATTGTAACTGTTATATTTACACGATTTTCTTTTCCTAATGTAAGCCCATGAAAAGAGACTTTGTATTCTTAAAAAAAAAAAAGATTTATTTGAAAGGCAGATTTACAGAGAGAGGAGAGACAGAGAGAGACAGAGACACAGAGGGAGGGAGAGAGGGAGAGAGGGAGGAAGAGAAAGTGAGAGAGAGAGATCCTCTATCCACTGGTTTACTCCCCCGATGGCCACAACAGCCAGGCCTGGGCTAGGTCGAAGTCAGAAGCCAGTAGCTTCATCTAGTCTCACATATGGGTGGCAGGGGCCCAAGTGCTTGGGCCATCTTCCGCTACTTTCCCGAGGGAGCTGGATCAGAAATGGAGCAGCCAAACAGTGCCCTTGTGGGATGCTAGCATTGCAGGCAGTGGCTTAACACACTAAGCCACAATGCTGGCCCCATGCTTACCCTGTTTTTAAAGTAATCATTGAGGCCAGCATTCTGGTATAGTGGGGTAAAGCCACTGCCTGCAACACTACCACCTCTTATGGGCACGGGTTCAGCCGCTCCTCTTCCTATCCAGCTCTCAGCTAATAGCCTGGGATAAGCAGAAGATGGCCCAAGTACCCAATGTGGTAGACCCCATAAAGCTCCTGGCCACTATCTTTGGCCTGGCCTACCCCTGCCCACTGTGGCCCTCTGGCCTTCTGGGGAATGAACCAGCAGATTGAAGAGTTCCTCTTTCTCTCTCTCTCTCCTTCCCCCCCTCCCTCGCTCAATCCCTCCCTCTCTCTCTCCCTCCCTCCCCCTCTCTCTGTTATTCTTTCAAATAAATCTATAAAAATTCTTAAAAATCAAATAACCAGCACCATTCCTGAAATTTCCCTAGATCTGAACTGGACTTTCACAAACAGAGTAGCTCAGAAGACTCTCCTCACTTAGTTCTTTTTGTGGGTAATATCGTTAAGGAGAGAAGTTTGTTCTGTTTAGATTGTGAAGGTCAAATGTGGCAGTGAGTTGCTTTAGGTTAGAACACAGCCACAGACAAGAAGAACTCCAAAAACTTACAGAGAGAATCTTGGGACAACACAATGTAAGCAGCTTGTATGCAATTATCTTTACAGATATACAGAGCTAAGTGCCTTATGGAAATTTATGATTGACTTCATAGCTTTCCGTTGCCTGTGCAAGTTCTCTAATGAAATTACTTCAATCAAGAAAAGTCAAGCTAAGAAGTATTGCGATGTGGCATCAGAGAAATAAAAAAGATTGAAAAGAGATTTGTTGTAATGATGTTTCTGTAACAGTCTAGGGCTCACTAGAAAACAGAGGTCACAGTCAAATACAGAAACATGGAAGGAGTTTAACAGAACAGCTACTTACAGACATGTGGGCAGGGTATAGGGAAACCACAGAGTCTCAGAGCCAGAAATTCCAGTTACCACTCCTAAGCAGGAGAGGGGAAGCAGTTGTTAACTAATTCAGATCTGTATGGAAAAGATCACCTTAAAGGAGCTGTGATCTTTAGTTGAGGGACATATTCAACCAGTTAAGAATACACAAGAGAAGACTAGGATTCTTCTTGACTATGACCTTCTGTGGGTACCTCCCTATTGGCCAAATCCAACTGACAGACAGAGAAAGGGATACCATTAATGCACTGCCAAAAGGTCAGTTTGCTTGGCACAGAGTACAGTTGAGAGTGAGAGTGAGAGTAACAATGGAGGGACAAAGGTAAGACACTCATTGCAACATCTGTCTTAAAACTCAATGGCTAGGGTCGGCGCCGTGGCTCAGTAGGCTAATCCTCCGCCTTGCAGTGCCAGCACACCGGGTTCTAGTCCTGGTCGGGGCGCCGGATTCTGTCCCGGTTGCCCCTCTTCCAGGCCAGCTCTCTGCTGTGGCCAGGGAGTACAGTGGAGGATGGCCCAAGTGCTTATGCCCTGCACCCCATGTGAGACCAGGATAAGTACCTGGCTCCTGCCATCGGATCGGCGCAGTGCGCCAGTTGCAGCGCGCCGGCCGTGGCGGCCATTGGAGGGTGAACCAACGGCAAAGGAAGACCTTTCTCTCTGTCTCTCTCTCTCACTGTCCACTCTGCCTGTCAAAAAAATAAATAAATAAAGTGAAGAAAGCACACAGAATCTTTTGTTCACATTGTCCACAGAACAAAAATGTTTCATTCAGATCACAAATGGAACAGCATAAACACCCCTTTGGCAGTGAGATCAAAAGACAGGGATTCCTTCACTGCTAGGGAATGTATCCTTCACAAGAACAAAAGGATCATTAATTTTGGACTTTGCTTCTCATAATTTATTTGTTGGAAAACAAGTATACCACAAGCATCCACATTTGCAAGATCAACATACACTTGTATCCCCATTTCCTCATCTGCTTTCACTGTGGTGGCTGACAGAAAATTAACTGAGAATGGGCATAAAGAAGGGATGTCGAATGTCCTTAGTATTATTATAGATCATGTGTGTGTAATCTAAACATTATTTGCTTTTAGCATGTGGATATACATTGCTACTTGTGTAGGTAAGAGAATTGTGATTTTCTCCGCTTCGATCAGTAATCATTCCATGAGTCCAAGAAGAATTACTTTTCTGTGTATGCCATTGACAAACTATCAGCCTTTCCTTTCAATGGAATATTTCAAAAATAATTTCAACTGACATGCTACTGTCATGATTGTGTGATGATATGTCACTTTACAAGACATTAACATACGTTGTCCAAGATGTTCCCTAATACTGATAGTGTCATATCATTAATGCAGAATATATTCTATATTGTCTGTTCACTAGGGTGTGCAACACACTTACATACATGTGTGTTTGTGTGTGTATATATATATATATATACCCTATATATAGTCTTTTCTTATGCCACTCTTTCAACAAGAAAAAAAAATTGCCTTTTTATTTCTGATAAATGAACCAAATTTCCATCTAGGAATTTCTGAGAAAAGTTCATACTGTATGCAAAAAAAAAAAATCTTCCAGTAGTCAATTACTTGTTTAAAAAAAAAGTTGGTCAGAAAGCCATTATCATTGAAGCATATCTCCTGGTTGTTAGGAGTTCCTGGTCTCTAAAGATCAGTTTGTGAAAGCAATGTCAAAAGTGAACTCATGGGGGCCAGCGCTGTGGCGTAGTAAGCTAGGCCTCTGCCTGTGGCACTAGCATCCCATATGGACACCGGTTTGTGTCCCGGCTCCTCCTCTTCCCATCCAGCTCTCTGCTATGGCCTGGGAAAGCAGCAGAAGATGGCCCAAGTCCTTGGGCCCCTGCACCTGTGTGGGAGACCCAGAGGAAGCTCCTGGCTCCTGGCTTTGGATCTGCCCAGTTCTGGCCATTGCTGCCATGTGGGGAGTGAACCAGTAGATGGAAGACCTCTCACCTCTCTCTCGCTGTCTCTTCCTCTCTCTGTTTATAAATAAATTTTTTAAAGTGAACTGATGGAGAATCCTATGCCCAGCTGGCTTCACTGATGAATTATGCCAAATATTTAAGAAGGAAATTATATCATTTCTGTCTAATCTTTTCAGGAAATAAAAGAGGAGTAACACTTCCCAACTTACTTTATCATGCCAGCATTGCCCTGATACAAAAATAGACAAAGACATTACAGTAAAGGAAAATTCCAAACCCAAACAACAGACCTCATGAACATAAACCAAGAAAAATTACAGACCAGAACTACAGACTTCAGCAAGCTAGAGTCTCTGGGCTTGCCCTCTATAAATAAAATTTAACTGGAATGCAGCCATATCCATCCATTTGCTGCAGCAGAGTTGAGCACAGCAGATGTGCTAGAAACCTTATGTCCTGAAAATCCATTATGTTTACTATATAGTTTGCCAATTCCTAACATGGATGCAAAATTCCTCAACAAAGCAATAAGAACTCAGGTCCAAAATATATAAAACCATAAAATACACACTGAGCAAGTGTGTACAGGAGGAAGTGAGGCAGAGGAGAGTGTCAGAGCTCAAGCAGGGTAAGGACAGCATCTGTTCATGAGGACAAGGACAGCTGCAACTTCACAGAGGGTGTTTAGGGTCCAAGCAGACAAGCAGAAGGTACAGGGTTACATTGGCCCGGAGTGGACTACATAGACTCAAATGAGAAACGTGACCATGTTACAGAAAGCAGTGACAATAAGAAAGTGTCACATACATTGGGGTAACAGAGATTGAGACAATAAGTCAGCATGCAGAGAATGTTCTTGTTGTTAACAGAAAGTAACTAAAATCTTAGAAGACCATAAAATCTTAGAAAAGAAGCAAGAAGATAGCCGAAAAGGCAATTAAGGCCAGCTTGAAGGGCCTCCCACTCACCACACTGTGGACAATTAGAGCATCAAAAAGCAATATTAATGGATTATAAATTCAGTAAGCAAAATGAGTATCAATGAGTCCACACTAATATAAATGACTGGGTAAGTTAATAAACAAACACAAATAAATAAATAAAGTTTCTCTGTAGACTAGAATGCAAACTAATAAGTGTGGAAGGAACACTGAATTGTAAAAATTACACAGTACTAATTAATTCAGCCAAAAAACATTAACAGATATTCAAACTAGAGGCATGAGTCATTGTTAAATCATCAAGAATTGTGATTTTTACCATTTTTTAAATTCTCATTATATAATTTGCACATAATTTTCATTATATTATTGTATCATAATTATATGAAGGTACAATCCTTATAAATTTCACTAAGATAAAAGATACTTAAAGCTCATGATTTAGGCTCAAACACTCCAGTCCACTCTGAGTGGATACTCATTTTCTTTGAACCTGACACTCTACACAGATATATTCTTCTCCCTGGACTCGAGGCACCTTCCTCATAGGTGAAAACATACCTCACTTCCTCTGTAAAGATAAAACTACACCTGAAGCTCTGTATTTGTATTTTAAGAAGTCATCACTGTCAAAGACAAAAACTTTGTTTCCATTAGTTCTAGCAAATATTCCAGGGCTGATATTAATTGGTTCAGTTGAGGCCACATAGCCATTACTCAACCAATCACTGTGTCAATAGTGAGGTAGGAGGAATGGAATGGAATATGCTACATGGATAGCACAAAGCCAGGTGCTGTGCCTCAGAATCAATGAACTAGGTCAGCCCCTCCAGGCCTGCATGGCTAAGGGTGCGATGCAAGCTGATGGTCTGAAGGGAACCCTGCAAGGTGCTGGATCCAAAAGGAAGAACAGAAACAGGGAGCAAGACAATTCTGCATATTTAGGAAACAAAGGAGAGTAGAACCATCAAAACCAAGAAAGAACAACCATTCAGGTAACAGAAGTGCAACATGCTAACATTGTGAGAACAAAGGTTTAAGATCTTTCCTCTCTTGAGGAAGACCAAAAGTGTCTTAGGCAGTAAATAGCAAAGAGAATGTTCAGAAAAAAAGTTCTGTGTATACAGCGGTCATTAGTGACATTGCAGGGGGCTATTTGAGCAGAGTCATGGGAAGGCAGGTTCTATCCCATGGAGTCACAGCTTGAATTGATGGGAAGGAAATGGAGGCAATGAACACTTCATTTGTCAAGAAGTGACAAGAAAGAATGAGATAAGGCAATTAAAGGAATACATTTTTCTAAGGAGAAATTTGATGCTTATAGACAGACAGGAAATAATTAGTAGATTTGCCACACATGAGAACTCTCCAGATAAAGGGACCCATTAATTGGCTACTATTTTTGCTGTGCTCCAAACTGTATTACTTTCACATTTTCTATTTTCCTATACTAGTGTCATGTCTTAATAACCTGTGAAAAGCATGGTGTGTCTTACTAATCAATTTACCATAAAAAAGGCGTAGTTTCTCTGAATAAACTAATTAATAACAAAACAATATTTTAAGCGTGCTCCACTGAAATAAAGGGCTCAAGATTGATAAACTGCACTTGGGAATCCTCAGATTTTACATCTTCCCTATTTCCTACCAAGCAAACAGAAACAGGAAAAAGCAAAAACAAGCTAACCAAAGCCGTGACAATTTCATGAGAGACATATGCTAGTAGTTTATTCTTTATACGGGAACATCAAATGTCCATGGTAAAGAACATCTAAATTTTCTGCTTTTTATCTTTTATAAAATTTAGAGTTTTGTGCTTTATGTTTAGGACTATATATCCAGCTAATTTTTGTGAAAAGTATAATATCTGGGTCTAAATTGTTACTATTTTGTATCTGGATGTCAAGTTTTTCCAGCAGCATTTATTGGGAGAATACTATTTTCCTCCATCACTTTGCCTTTCCTCCTTTGTCAATTATCAGTGGACTCTGAGAGTACTTCAAAAAACTCATGGAAAATTAAAAGATATAATTTTTTGATGCCAAAAAAAATGTCCAAGG